ATGCCAGATCTTGTTGTCTGTGCAGAAAGTCTTCTTATCGGAGTTTTACCATGGTGGGCCATACTAAAGTCATGGCGCAAACGCATTCGTCTTTTTCATGTCTCGCGAAAGCTCTGTCGACTTGTTGCCAGCTCCATTTTCTCATCTCTGTGAAGTGAAAGACTCACGCCATGGCCACTCCAAATGCTTCACGACCTGTTTCCTGGTCGGATACGACAGCAGCATCAACAAGGCCACCAAGTCCCGTCAATGTCGAAAAGCTTCCTGGTAGAAGTCGTCAGCCATCCACTGAGGTGGGCTTGAAGTCAGATTCTGATCCTGAGAAAGGACCTCAGCCGTGTTCAAATCAAGATGCAACACCAATCGCTGATGGGGCTTCATCGCAAGTTCGCCCTGCGACTCTCGACTGGGACGGCCCTGACGACCCTTTGAACCCTCATAACTGGAGTGCAGCCAGGAAGTGGTATCAGACATACACGATCTCCGGTATTGCGCTTGTGGGGACATTCGCATCGTCCGTCTTCACACCGGCCATCGAACAAGCAGCGACAGAGCTGGGCTCGACGCAACTTATCGCGACATTTGCATACTCGATATATGCCCTCGGACTAGCTTTTGGTGGACCGTTCGCTGCTCCTCTTAGTGAAACTTTTGGAAGACGACCCCTCATCTTCATCAGCTTGCCTATCTTTGCGCTCTTCATCCTAGGCACAGGTTTCGTGCAAAGTATGGCGAGTCTGGTGGTGCTGAGATTCTGGGCTGGCTTCTTCGCTGCGCCTAGTCTGAGTATGGGGTCAGGTACGTTGAGCGATATCTGGCCGCCTGAGAAGCGCTCTGGTCCGATGTCGCTTTACGTCGCAACACCATTCTTTGGCCCAGCATTAGGACCAATCCTGGGTGCTGTCGTAACCCAAACACGTGGCTGGCGCTGGACGTCATGGTTGATACTCTTCTTCACCATCATTCTCGTCATTGCACCAGCGCCATTCTTCCGTGAGTCGTACAAACCCGTCCTCCTACGTCGCCGCGCGAAGAAACGCAATCTTCCGCTCCCAAGATCACCAACCGAAGGCATGTCGTTGCCGAAGGTCGTCAGCACCTATGCCACCAAAACTCTCACTCGGCCCATGCACATGCTGCTCACGGAGCCGATTGTGGCAACATTCAACACGTACTCTGCTTTCAACTTTGGCTTGCTGTACGCCTTCTTCGCCGCTTTCCCTTATGTGTTCGAGACAGAGTATGGGTTCGATAGCATATCCACAGGTCTTACATTCCTCGGTCTGGGTGTCGGTGTCATTGTAGCTACCGTTTGCATTGTATCGTTCAGCAAACTTTTCTACCTGCCTCGCGTGCGGAAGGCGGTTGCAGAGAAGAGGCCAGCTCCGGCCTTTGCAACATCACGGCTGGCGCCTGAAAAGCGCTTGCCGCTTGCATTCGCTGGTGGGCCCATTCTCACTATCGGCTTGTTCCTCTTTGGCTGGTCTGCAGCCTACCGTGTACATTGGATTGTGCCAACCATTGCCGAAGCCTTCTTCGGCATGGGCAATATGCTTATCTTCATGGCATGCATGATGTATATTACTGATGCGTACGGACCACTGTACAGTGCCAGTGCCATGGCCTCGAATGCCATATTGCGGTACGTACTTGGTGGAACCTTTCCCCTCTTTGCAGTCCAGATGTTTCGAAGACTGGGCCCCCAGTGGGCTTGTACATTGCTCGGCTGTTTGAGCATCCTGGGTGCGTGTATACCGTTTGTCTTGGCTAGGTATGGTGAGGCTCTAAGAAGCAGGAGCGGATATAAAAGAAGTGGGTAGTTTGGGCAAGTGTGGGACATATCAATCTTAATTTCTCCATGTGGTGTCGTGCGTCCTCTGACATGTGATATGCTCTTGTGCCGTCCGTCGATTTCGCCTAGAAAATCAACGCCGCCGTTCTTTGACACATTCGTGAGTTTTCTCACCTTGGTCTGAAGCTCGCCGTTGATGAGTACGTGCGGGCGTGGTCGTCCTTGACGTTAACCCTTGTCACCGGCCAAATAATCTTTCTGTCGAGTACAAAGATGAAAGAAAAAGCGTACTTGGCCACGAATGTTCTTGTACTTCATCCTAATGCTCGCCGTTAATGGAGCATAGGCAGGCCAAATTGGTTGGTAAGATCGGCTGTGTTGTCCTCGACGTTAACACTTAACACCGACCATCTCTTTCTCGAGCGAAGGAGCAAAAACAAAAAGGAAACAAAAAAAATGTTTATTTTGACACGAGTGGGGTCTGATATCGGATTAGTATATGTCGCAACGTAACATTGTGCGGTATAACGTACTCGAACCCACGCACATTTCTGTAGTAGAGATCTAAGCGGGGCTTAAATCTACCGCCTTAGACCACTCGGCCATCGTGTCGGATGGAGAAACTGGACAAAATTTGGCATTAGATGATAAATAATAGAAGTCGATATCGAAAATGGGCGTGGCCTTCCTGTGTATCACGTAGTCGCTAAGTAGATCGTTGTGACAAGTGGTGACTCTTGTCTCGATGCGGGGTACAGCAGGGGCTGCGTCTCTGCTCCCAATTCGGGGCAACCTCCTCGACCAGAAGCAACAACATTATTCTTTAGCAAATATCAAAATCAGACCAAATGAATGCATTAGTGAGAATTATGCCTGGAGGTTTCTTATCATATAGAGTCAGTCAAAAGCACTAAACTATGTACACCCAACTATTACCTTCCGAATCAAATTGCTGCACCCGCTCATCACCTTGCCATCGAGACCCTCTTCATCTAAGCAATCCATCGCTTTCCAAGGCTCTGAGCTGCCTGGGCATCATCGGGGTTGTTCTGCGCGAGTGCTGCAAGAATAGATGCAACGTCGTCTTGACGCTTCTGGATGTTCTGGCGCGCAGCCGCGGCATCGTCGGGGCTGTTTTGCTCGAGTGCTGCGAGGATGGAAGCCACATCGTCCTGACGCTTAGAAACAGGAGTGGAGGTGGCAGTGGAGGATGGTGCAGCCTGCTTAGCGGCCGCGGCGTCGTCAGGGTTATTGGCCTCAAGTGCGGCCAAAATGGAAGCCAAGTCGTCCTGGCGCTTGGTGGCAGATGAAGACGAGGCCTGCTTAGCAGCGGCAGCATCGTCGGGGTTATTGGCCTCCAGGGCGGCGAGGATAGAGTCCAAATCGTCCTGACGGCGGAGCTTGACCTTCATGGCCGCAGCAGCGGCATCGGCGTCTTCCGGGTTGTTCGCACGAAGAGCCTCGAGGATGGACGCAACGTCATCTTGAGGGTTGGCTGAGAGATGTTAGATGGACGTTCGATGTTACATGCATACCGTAGAGGCATAGAAGCTTACCAGTAGCGAAGACTGCGCTGGAGAAAGCAGCAACGGCGATGAAGGCTGTGCAACGCATGTTTACTGGTTAACAGGATTGCAAGTGTATTGTAATAGGAGTTGTTAGAAGAGAAGTGACCGGCACAAAGATTACAAGATGATAGAACGGATGGAATAGTAATTGCTCAATTGACCTCAGGACGGCGTCCGAGGGCTAAATACCATGAGCTAGAGTGGTGACGCCAGCGAGACATGACAGCTAAGCTTTGCAGCGTCAAATGTTGAAGCTTGTCCCGAAACCTACTGTAGTTTCACGGTGTGGTACGACCCGAGTAAGAACATACATCATCTCGGTGTTCGAGAGCATTGCATGTCCCGCAGTCGGCAAGGAAGAGTTGGGTTGTTTAGTTTCCGATTTCGGTTTCTCGGAATCAGGTTGGAGCATTGTTGTGTCATGTTTCGGGAACAGCCTCACCATCTGCCCAAACGTAGATCTGAAACGATGCAGCCTCGGTCCCTCCATACGACTTGCGCAGCAGTCGTTGCTTCTTCTGTGACTGTATCACGTATCAGAGCAATCTGAATCCAGATACAGAGGCTCCCCAGACATGCCCCACCATCCATGTTGCGATGCGATTGAGTGTGTGAGTCCCATCATGAGGAGCCACAGCTTTCATTCCACCCGTGTCAAGTCCTTCGTTTGTGATGGCCACAGCCCTGTGATTCCACAGATGCGTCATTCCTCATTATCTCAGACCATGCGTATCCAACGTGTATTGTGATCGGATGAAGGACGTTGGTGCTGTAAGGCGGTCGTAAGAGGTCGAGCGATATACGTTTCATGGACGATCGAGTGGTGCCGACTGCGTTGTAATATTGATGCTACAAACTATCAGCGAGATCCATAACAGTATCGTTGTGATTTAAGTCCATACCTGTTTCCGTGACTTCCGCGGGAAACTACGGTTAGTATCATAACAACACCAGCAACATCGCAATCATGCTCGCGGCATAGCAGCATTCGTGGATATGGGGTTGTAATCGAACAAGTAATGCGTCCTTACTCCAGATTTGTATCGATGGTTCATCTACAGCTTACCCCCGGTGATGTGGGCCGTACCGAGGCAATCGCGGGGTTCTGGGGTAGGCCATCGATGTGTATACCTGTGACGGGAGGTAAGACAAACAATTCGACAAGCACTTAGTATCAAGTCGGACTTTACTATCGCTGTGGAAGGGAAGGCAGTATGAAATGTCCACAAGCTTAAAGCTGAAGTCGAGCAAAAAGCTTGGCACGACCAAGTTCCAATATCGGACAGCTAGAACAGCAGTAGCTCATCACGGAACGTGGCACGGGTATTGACAAGCTTCGGTATCGTCTAGGAGGGTCCAATCGAGTTCATTGAGCTTAACGTCAGTCATCCGCACATGTCATTACCATAGCTAGAGCTTCCGCACGTGCGCTGGGTAAGGAAAGCGAGCCGTGGTGGTAGCTTGCTCTTCAGATTGCTCGTCTAAAGTACATGTTTTACACAATCTGACCGGCCACTAGAGTAGGAAAAGAGGTAGTAGTCGTCCCTATGCACACACCCATCCGCAAGAAAAGTTTTCAACCTTGCGGCACCCCCATACCGTTGACCCCAAATGTCCGGCAGTCCATGCAATGCACACATCTATGCGACGTAGAGGAGCAAGAAGGACATCATGAGCGCGAAAAGACCAGTGGCCTCAGCGAAGGCGAAACCGAGAACGGCGTACTGGAAGAGCTGACCCCTGAGGGAGGGGTTGCGGGCAACACCCTGGATGAGACCACCGAAAACCGTTCCGATACCAACACCGGCACCGGCAAGACCGATGGTAGCGAGACCGGCACCCTGGATCTTAGCGGCAGCGACCATGGCGGCAGCGGTGGACTCGGCGACGATGCCACGCTTCTGGATGACGTTGCGGGCGGCGTTGTTGCGGAAGGCACTGCGGGCAGCGACGAGGGTGCTCTGCTGGGGCTGGCGGGCTGCGAGATGATGGTCAATGGCTGCTTGATGAGCTTGCAGAGCTCAAACCCAATGGCTTGAGCTGCTGCGGCAGGCGCGAGACATACCAGCGTTGGAGAAGCCGCGGGCGGCCACGCGGGCGGCGCCGAAGGAGCGAGCGATGGCAACCATGGTGATGGTGTTGACGGTCGGAGTGGAGATGAGTTGGAGATGAATTGGTCCTTCAATGGATGGGGAGTGGTGGGAGGAGGATGGAGGAGGTGGATGCAAAAACTCGCTGAAGGGTTGATTAGCCGCCAAGAGTCCGTGCGGGAGCTCACATCGGGTTAGCGCTCCCCGTTTACTCCCGATAACCACCACTTCGACCAATGTCTTGAAGCCAATTAAGGCATTTTGGAATTGCTGTGAAAGATGAGAGATTCTATGAGACTTGGTGCTGAGCTGGGAGATCTTGGAGACCATTCCAGCCTTCCGTAACCTACAGTCACCTCAAAACCACATTACTATCAACCGAAAGAACCGAGCCGACTGTCGACATCATCACGCTCAATGTGTCAATTGAGGTTCTTTGGCTTGAGTTTAGACATGGCCTAGATTTATCTGTTGACGAGGACGTTGCAGAAACCTTCTCTACTGTGATATGACTCTTTCTTATGCTCTGCACTTCTTTACATTGCAAACATGTGGCCCGAGTCGACCGTATTCCATGGCACAACAGACACCATACTTCCGGCAGGGAGATCTTTTTCCGATACGACTGGTAGTTCAGTCAAGCAAACAAGGAAAAACCTCAAGCTCATATTTGAGTATCGGTATCATTCACATATTTCGGAGTGCGAACAGGGTTCAAGAGTCATCATGATGAGATGAACTCAGTACAATCCTGACACAAGATCCTAATGCCACCCAAACTGGGATGCAATGAGCAAGAATCAGCGGGTGGGCTTGAACAAATCAAAGTGAACGCACCCAACAACTATATTTGCAGTGTGATGTTCAACGCAGCCGCCATGAATACGGACCAGTCGTCGTCTTGGTACTCAGGTGGTTCTGACTATAAGACCAGTGCGTGATCATATTAAGTTTGCACAAGCTCTCACATACAACATGAGACAAAGGCAAGTAAATGTAGTGCTCGCATCGCATTGAATAGCGACTAAACTAACCCCCATATAAGACTTTTGGTAAGCATGGCCCGTTCCCGCCTCATCCCATCCATCCCAGCCCGTCCCACCCATCTCGGCCGTAACAGCGCAGCTACATCTCCTCGCATCAACACTTGGTATCAGACTCAAAAGAAAGATTACAATACAATCAAAGCCCCAAGGGACAGTGATAAGAAGTGGTATTCAGACATTAGATGGTCGTAAAGACCGAGCACAAAGTAGGCGTCGACGCCCAACTCTCGTCGCAGGGAGATGACAGATGCAACTCGGTCTCTCCCCGCATGCATGAAACAGTCATTAGATAATCAAAGGAAACGCCTCATCAAGAGCCCATGGTGACTATTCAACCATAGCACTAATAGGCGTGCCAGCGCGGCTCTCGTCCACGAATTCGCTCATCTTCATCTTCTTGTGTCTTGGGCTGTCGGCTTCGATTTCGTCAAGCCGCCTCTTCAGGTCGGCCTCCCGCTGTTTGATCTCCTCAAGCTCTTGTCTTAAGGTTGATTCTGTCTGCCGCGCTGATTGCTCGCTCTGTTCGAGTTCGCTAACGCGGTTCCGGAAGAGATCGTTGATAAGTTCCATTTCCGAGACACGTGTCTTGAGTGCAGTGTTCTGTGCGGCGAGAGTCTCATATGGGAGAGGAGCTTCGAGATGGGAACCGTTAATCGACGAGTTAGCGGGTGAGGGAGCACGAATACCGAATCCTGGGAGCGAAGGCGAGTGGAAATCACCACCATGCAGCGCCTGCTCAAACAGGTGCGACGGTGCGATGTTGGAGGGATGGTTGAAGTTCGGGGTGCCGGTGCGTGAAATAGGCGATTGCGAGCGGTCGGATAAGCCTGAAGAGATCTTGCCTGATGCGCGGCGGTGCTGGGCGAGGGCTAGCTGGCCATCAGCATCGGGATGCGCGGCAGGAAGACCACCTTGGTCACTTGTCTGTCGTGTGTTAGTCGTAACAGTGACTACGAGATGACCTGCATACCCTCTTGCGTCCGCCTGGCCCGCCAGTCTTCACGCGGTTGCGGCTCTTGATGACATCGGTCTTGAGTGAGATAGGTCGTGGCCTGCAGAGATGAGGATGTCAAGTCAGTACATATCTCCTATGCATTTTGTACAGTCGCAACTTACCGGCCGTGCAGCTTCAGGAAAAGGCCACAGGCGTTGCAGAGAACAGCGCCCGTTTCATCGCGGCGCCACAAGGGGGTAGTGCTGGTGCTACAGTTCATGCACGAGGGCTAAATAAATCAGCACGAGTATCGGTAGGAGGTATGGTACGCAGGAGCTCGTTGCTGGGGCAAAGGGTTATCGATAGGTGAGATAAGCCCATAATGATAGAGCGAAATGCCTCGACCTAAAACACCAACGATCACAATCATACGTACCGGAGAACCAGCTTGTCCACCAGCGGTTGCGGGCGCAGAAGTTGCATAAGTCATGCTGAGTCCATTAGAGGGTTTGCTGGTTTCCATGTTAGCGGGCGAGTTGAAAAGTCCGTGGTGCAAGGCTTGGCGTTTGCGATAAGCCAGTCACGGCCGGCACCTGCAGCGCTGCACGAACGTTTTTTGTCAGTCGCATCTCAGCCATACCGCATCCTCAAAGGCATACACTGCTACTTTCTCGATAGGATTCCAACATAGATTGCCATGTTCACCTCGAGGATGTAGTATAGCTGGGTCGCGACTCATCAAAAAACGACCTGTTTCGTAGCCCGCCTGCCTTTCGAATGGAACATACCTAAGCGGAGACGGCATTTTCTTCTCGGGCGTCCCTTTCCTCATATTATCATTATCATTACTGTTCATGTTCGCTGCGGGGCAGTTCGATGCAGCTGAAGCTAGCGTCGCCAGCGAAGGCAGCTGGATCGAGGCATTGCTGCCATGCCGTTGTTGGGTGTATGAAGCCACGGTCGAACTTGAGGACGGGCGTGATATATCGTGGCCGATCGACGGCAGCTTGTCTTCGAAATTGGTGGTTGGCGTCTTGAAGGCGGGCAGGTCGAAAACCTGCAGAATCGAGGGTCTGCGAAACGAATCGTCGACCTGGGGCCGAGGGAGGATAGAGGTAGCCAGTGCGGAAGCCGTGATGAAGTATTAGGGTCGAGAAACGCGTGGCGCCCCTCGAGTTGCTGATAATGTACTGGATGGGATCGGGCACGCTTTGATGATACACACCAAAGAAGACGCGAACGGGTAAGTGGTGCTTCAAAAGAGTGTGGTATTAAGTAAATGAGCGACGATAAGGAGCGAAGGACAGAAGGACCACAGCTACAAAACAGTGTTGAAAGAGTGTCTGTTGAGAGGAACGAGCACGACAAGAAATTGAGCTGCAAGGTACAAGATACGTTCTCTGCGCGTTTGTGGGTAAGTACTAAGGGGTCATGACAGTGCGTATCGACCTATCGATATCCACCCATCTCATTTAACCCTAATCACCTGCATGACCTCAGAACTGCTACCCCCAAGCGCCCCTCCAGTCTCTTTTGAGCCGGGCCGTTTTACTGCTGTAGTACAAACTTCGCCGTCGTGATCTAGAGTGAAGGATTGCCTTTTCAGCAATCAGCCTTCCGGGATTATATCACAAGCAAGTTCAGCACATATCACAGGTTCAAATTCACTTTCATCAACGCCACGCCCCAACCTGCGAGACCCACGAACAGATATCGTTGAAACGAAACAACCGTCCCGTCAGGCGCGTGATGGTTCACGCAGATTTGGCGCTTATGCTATTGCCCCTGAGGCTCAAATCACACTAGTCCCACAACAGCCATGCACGTCTGTGCACATACCTTACACTAGACCAGTCACGGCTCACCTTGTCTCCAACTTGTGGCTGTCACGTAAATAAAGGGTTCAAATTGGACGGGCAGCCGTAGCGTGAACCATGTTGCAGTCTGGAGAAGGGCATGTTCAGGGTCTTTGATCGTGCTATATCACGTACCTGTCTGTACGGCTGTAGTTGAAGACCATTTGATCATAGTGGTAGCGTTTGAACGAGCAACCGTGATCCCACGGATACATCCCTGCGAACCGCGCGGCGATTGCTGATTATCTACCAAAGGAGAACCAACCCTTCTTGGCCTGCGGCTTCTCCTTCTTCTTCTCCTCAACCGGCGCCTTTTCTGGCTCTGGTTCCTGCACTTGCGGTGCGCGTCCAGGATACTCGACGTAGTTCCACGCTACATCGAGGAAGAGAGGCTTGACTGGTACAGGCTTCAATTTCGGAGGCCATGTAACAAGGTTCTTGAGATCAACCGAGCCTGATGATGGGTATTCGTTCAGTCTCTCAACAACGGGTGCGGCATTCGCCAGTCCGGCCTTGGACGCGGTCTCTGAGTTTGCAAACAGTTGCGAAAGCGCCACAACACCTCGGTAGTGCGAGTTCAGATTCTCCAGATTCTTCTTTAGCGTCTGTGTCTGTTCACCTGACACTTCCATCTTGGGTGCGCTCGAACTTGAAGGTGATTGGGATCTTGGAGCTGATGCCGCTTGGCTTGCCAACGTCAATGCTCTGTTGCAAAGCGCCAACGCTTGTTTTGGTGTCGACAAAAATGCATACGAGTGCGACAAGTTTAAACACTTTAGCGCTTGGAAATATGCGCGCTGTCCGTCGAGTTCAGAAATGAAGCCAGTATCGCGAGCAGCACCTCTTAGGTCTTTGACCGAGTCAATACTTTGCAGGATCGCATCGTACAGAGCGATGCGCTCTCGCAGACGTGCCAGCTTGCGGCCAGTGGGTTCCTCCCGTTCAACCCATTGCTTGCCGTCTTTACGCGGCCGTCGCGGTTTCTGCGGGGGATTCGCAGGAAACGTGAGCCCATCGTCTTTGCCAACAAGCACTCTGTTCCGCCCAACTCTCCATGATATCAGGTCATAGTTGACAGCCAGGTTCGTGACACGGAGATCCTGCATACGCGCATCGCCCTCGTCGACACCTTCCTTCTCAAGCTCCTCGATCGCCCTTCGTGTTGCATCAACCGCGTCCTGGCTTGCGATGAGGATATCGTCGTACGCGTTGGCTCGGTCCTTGGGGGATGAGGTGGAGGTCGCGGATTGGTCAAGAGCAGCAGAGGCGGTATCGACAGATGCTAGAGCCTGCCCAATTGCGGCATCCACCACGTTTGCTGTTCGGCCTCGCCATGTGATCTGGGTGTCTGTGTGACTGTTAGCGTTGCCTGAGTCATCGGATTCTGTTACTTACGAGATGAGGCTGCTTCCTCTTCCTTCAAGGCTGCCGAGTCAAGCTTCTGCACAGCCTGGACTAGCTCTGCATCGTCCTTTGGGAAATACTTGATTGCAACCGCCGGAACACCTACAGTACGTGGAATGCGACTCTGGTACGCAGCATAGCGTATGCTTGGGTCGGTGGTACCTGCCATGACATCCTTGAACAGGTCCTTCCTCGTAGCTTTCAACAAAGAGCTGTAGATGACGCGCGCCGCCGAGTAGTTGGTGAGACAGGGAGCCCAGCGCGAGGGCGAAGCATTCTTGCTCTTGATGCCCTCGGCTTGCTTCTCAAACTCGTGCGCTCCAGCCAGAGTGTATGCATATGCTTTTACTTCAAGCACATCCGTTTCGGAAGCGCCGCTCGCGCTCGTGTCAGAGATGAGATCTACAGCCTGCTTTGCATATTGAATGGCCTTGTGCAGGCGAGAAAGGATGTGTTGGCGTGTAGAACCAGTGATGCTCTTGTCGGCGTTGTCTTCAGAGTGAGAAGCCTTTGTGGCCATGGCCTGCGCCCATGCGCGTTCCGAGTTGAGCAGGAGCACGTGAAGAGCCCTGCTACAGTCAGTTTCCGAGACGGCATTTCCGCAAGGTGCTCCTACTCATTGTTGTTCTTGATATCCTCTGCCGTCACCGGGGCCTTTGCGGCATATTTGGCGTTCTTGGGTGTTGCCCGCCCAAGCTTCTTGTTCACGATTCGGAGACGGCGCGACAACTGGCCGTGGTAGGTATTGTAGTCGCCTATCAGGAAGGCCGACTCGCGGTAGTCGGTCACAAACTTGGTGATGTCCATGGCCCGGTTGGTGGTAGGGGAGTGCAACTGTGGGGATGCGGCTCATGTGGAGGGGCATCAATTGGCGAGCTATCCATGGCCCTGCCAAGCGAGTCGGAATCTCAGGTCATTGTCGCGCCGTAAACTTTTCGAGACATCATAGACGTCGGGCCCGCCATTGCCACGCGCACTACCCGGCTTTTCTGCTGCGTTCTTTGCTTTAGGCCCCTGCTTTTGAGTCGACGCTCTTTTTTTTCGTTTCCTGTCCTACAACCTTCCTCAGTAATCGCCATTGCACAGTTTGGAGGCATGCGCAAGTGTGGGCAAGCCCCAATACCAATTCTGTCACCACCACAACAACTGACTGTCCTAGTTAATAGGACACTTTGTAGCTTCTGGTAATCTGCGCTGGCACCATCTGCACTTTCCACAGTCCAGGTGATGCTCGAGCGTGCTTCGACATGCCTCGAATCCGGCGGACGCCAGCTCTTCCGCGCTCCGAAACCATGTCTACGCAGCCGGCGCGCGTTGCCTTCCACCCTTTGGCACCACGGTGCAGGCGATCTCACTCTTCCCACCTGGTTGGCCGCGGCCTCGATTACCCAAAACACAGGCGGTGACGTGGAGGATGCAGCGGCAAAGAAAACTATTGGGGACCCAAGACGGCAGGATGGTGTTTTGCTCGACTTTCTGTACCCAGAGAAGACACTTGCACTTCTTAGACGGCCACCCGTTGAACGGCTCAATGCACCAGAAACGAAGCTACGGCGGCCGTGTACGAATGGAGTTCGCTATTTCTCGACAACACAAGCGCAACCCTCAAGCCACGAGGCACAATTAGACATGGACGTGGTGGAACAGGCCAAGAAGGAAGCAGCAGAGCTATCGCAAGGCTCAGGTGCCCATAGAGCGCTTCGAAAATTTCTAGATTCGCCGCAACCTGGGAAGCAAGAGTTAGCATGGCAGCTGTACACTGCTGTTCCCGAACACCGCCTGGCAAGTCCATATGCAAGAGCGCGACGTCATCTCATAGATTACCTCAGCCAAGACGTCGTTCAGGATGGCAACTCTGCGGTACCGGAGCGAATTCTTCAGGTGTTTGGTGAGCTATCATCAGCCGTTCGCCGGCCATCAACACGTCAAGCAGCTATCAAAGCATATACTGCACTAGGAATGATTGGGCCAGCAATCCAGCTGCTGGAGGAGCCCGGACATTCGAGTCTTAATATGTATGCCGGCATGGACGTCATCCTTCGACGAGCCGTTCTGGACGAGCAGTGGGATCTTGCTTTCCGTGTCTTTAGGACGTTCAGACGGCGGACGCCCAGAATCCGTGGCATGTCTGTATACAAGGCGATACGCTTTGGAGATACGCTCCCAAGCCTATGGGGTGAGGTGGCACAACTACCAGAACTGCTAGAACACTTCCAGTCTTTCTTGCGATATGTCGACGAGTTTCAGCACGAACTCAGGTCTTCGCGACTATTGAAGCGTGACTTGGACTGCTTTGTCATGAGCTTCGTACCCCACGTAGTGGATCGTGTTCTGAGCACCGGAGAACTTGATGACGATTTTATTTGGAATTATTTCGTCGGGCTTTTCGACGACCTCCATGATCTTCAGCTCCCTACTCCCGCTTGTTATGAGTATGCTATTCGACGGCTACTGGAGCTCCCACGCTACCAACAATACAACAACCAGCGAAAGATTCCGCTTGAGCTATATAGAAGATACCGACAGCTATATCTCGACCAGACCGAACCCACCATCCAAGCAAGGCCATCAGTGAATCTGATAGAGTCTCTGATCTACCAGCATTCTACCAAGGGTGGCCTGGGACGTGTCCAAGACCATGTACAAGATCTGCGCGCTTGGTATCCCAATCAGCCGCTACGCCAACAAGTTCTTAGGCACTTGATTAACGTATATGCGGATGTTGGTGACACTGAGAAGGTGTGCAGATATGTCGATGAGCTTAAGTCAGCTTACAAAGACGAAGTGACGATCAAGGTCCTGTCATCACTCCTCTATGTGTACGCTCGAAGCGCAGATGTCATCGGCACGATCACGCAATTCAAACGTATACACGAGGAGTTCCACATGAATCCAGATACCGGCTGCTGGAACATTCTACTGCTTGCCTACGTCCGCGCTGAAGATCTCGACGGCGCTCTTGAATGCCTCGACAATTGCTTGGGCTCGGGTGTTGTACCAGATATCTACACATTTGGACCCCTGCTCGACTTTTGTGCTCATAGAGGTGACGTTGAAGCTTTTGAGACACTGTTCTCGAAAGCCAAGAAGATGGGTGTAAAACTCGACACGGATGTTCATGCAAGAGCGGGCTATGTTGAAGCCTTTGTGAATGCAGGGGATGAAGAAGGCGCCCAAGCAATTGCGCAAGGCATGCTCAATAGTTGGAAGGCGGGGAGACTACACGGACGACCTCTCACACACACTTGGAACCTGCTGATCCAACAGCGTGCTCTGGACCGCGACCTGGTGGGTAGCAGAGAGCGATACAAAGAAATGGTCGAAAACGACATCCCTCTGGACAGTTGGACCTATAGCAGTCTAATGCGAGCATTAGTTGAAGTAAAGCAGACCAATGCTGCTTACAAACTGTTGAGAGTCACGATGCCGGAACAGGGACTTCAGGTCCACGCACTCCACTACGCTATAGTCATGATCGGCTTCGTTAGGGAAAGACAGTATACCCAAGCGGTTCAAGCTTACGAAAGGATGATGGAACGCCAGGTCTACCAAACAGAGAGCTCTCGCCAAGCCTCAATACAGGTGCTCGGTTCGGCTGACCTTCAAAGGCTAGAGAAAAAAGGTGCCAAACATCCAAACTATAAACTCCTTAGGGTTGAGGAGGCACTTGAAAAAATGCTTGTTTCTGTTACAGCTCGAGAGGTCGCTCATCGACAACCGGGACTTGAACGATCGACTCGGATACACGACCCCCGTGCTCTTGTACAGTCCTACTATGGCCTTATGGTATCGCTGTACAGCGCTCGATCAGCTTACAATATTTGCAAGAAGCTTTTCCAAAAGGCTGGAGCGTTAACGCCCGACGTCAACAATTACACGACACCATTGACCCTTACTACGTCGATGATGGAGGCCTATTTCACGGCTGGCAAACATGCCGAAGTGGCCAGGTGTTGGAAATTGGCACGTGTCTCAGCCGCAAACCTCACAAAGACCTTTCACCAAGTCATGCAACAACCTGCTGCCGTCTCCGATAACCCTGAACCCCCCGACCTTCTTGATCAAGACTCTCTTGTCGACCCTTCAGTTCAACAACGCTTTCAAGAGTCGCGCATATCAAATAATCGTCGCGACATCCTCACTAAGGCTTCCCGCATCTACATTCGTAGTCTGCTCGCCCAATCTGAGGATCCCAACGCTCTGCTAGAAGCCCAGCGTACTATTCGCGACCTTCTTGTCAACGGTTTCACCATTGATACTTTGACCTTCAATGAGTTTATTCAACAACTCACTCTACGCGCTCGTCTCATCGACGCCTTCACCATTTGCGAAGCATACCTCATGCCACGTTTCCCTGGTTGGCGCGACCTTGTCCCCAACTACATCCGCAAAGACCGCCAGGGCTATCAGTGGATGGAGCTTCGCCACCACGAGATCAAGACGACAAGCGTACTTCCGCGGTACAAGACTTTGGTCTTGCTAGCCAAGGCCCTTGACCAAGTGAAGAGCGACGAAAGAAACGGTATAGGTTATGATACTGATGCGGAGGCTTGGATGACGGAGATTCTTGAGCGTAGCGCGCCATTGACTGTCAGGGCTATTGATTCAATGCCTAGGACATTTGATCCTTTACAGCAGAGGCACTTCAACGGTGTTTTGTAGGGAGGTTCTGTATATATGTACAATACGTAGTATATCACGATATGAACGAATTGCATATAAAACGTTTTTAGTAGACAAGTGAAATTTTGTCAAAGCTGTTCCACTTCTAGGTCTCAAGTCGCAAGAAGAAGCTAATCAGACAAGTAAGACGATACCACTACTCTTTTCTGTTAAGTCATCAATAATGTACCCATCTCATCACACTGATCTAGCCTTGCTGTCCTCCATCATATTCGTTATCGATCTAATCCATCGAAATCCCCCCCATCCTCCTTCTCTCACACTCTGCCTCGTCGTACCTTTCGCCATGCGAACTCTCGACGACACCATATACCAACGTTCGTACATAAGGATGTATGCCCTCTTCTTGCCGCTCAAAGCCTACGCCACTGCTACTTCCCGACCCAGAACCCCCTAAGGGGTGCGGCGATAAAGGTCGGAGAATCTCCGCTCGGTCTAGTTGCGACACTGCCGTCTCGTGAAAGGCCGAAGGAAGTTCAAGACGCTCTCTGAACCTCGAGACAACGGATTCCGCTCGAGAACTCGATGATTGAAGTCGCTTTGGAGCTGGGAATGACAGTGGAGTCGCAGGAGGAGTCACTAGTGGCTCAACAGGTTGCTTAGGGTGTAGTCGGAGGAAATTAAAAGACTTTTCTTTCTTCTTTCCCCTCGAAATGGAGATGCACAGGAACTTCATTCTGGTAATAGGGATAGCATGTTTGGATCTATATGATAGCTTAAGTACTATTGAGGACGTTCATCGTTATCTTTACGCGAAGCTTGCAAGACAGTGTTGTCTCATTGTTGACCAGCGTGACTGTGGAGATACAATGCGTGAGACTGAGTGAAAGTGTTTGAGCCGTACTTGGGAGGGTCGAGACATGTCATGACCGTTGCTTCATGCCCATGATCATTGTTCTTTTCTCTAGGCAGATGAGTCTATCTTTGTTGTTGATGCTACAGACTGTACTGTTGTCTTTTGACACATCAGAGTAACACAATTGTCCATCCCTGCCACGTATCGAGATGTTCCATCCAGTCTCATCCAACGTGACTGTTGTCGGTCACTGCTCATGTCCAACTCTTTCAATTGGTAACTGCTTACAACACCGGCATCAGCACCTCGCTCATCCATCTCTTCACAT